TTTCACAACGAAACACAGCGTCACACACGGCGGCCTTGAGTGAGGAACGGTCGGTGGGCTTGAGAACAGCGCGGCCGGCGGATTCGACGAAGTAGCTGTGGATCCGGCGATCCACACCGCAAAGTTTATGTATTTCCTCAGCGACCAGCACGGATCAGCTCCAGGCATGACAAAGCGGATATCGTCCTCTTTTGGGAGGCCAAACAAAGTAGTTTCGCTTTCACAACTAAACGCACAGCGCCTTCACGACATTGCGGTGGCAGCAACAACATACTACAGCGAGAATAAAAGTTACGCCTTCTTTCTTTGCATGAACATTTCGGCGGCGTTATGCAAATCTTCCCACATCGTGACGTAGACATGTGGGGGCGTGTTAGAACGAGCCATTTTAGGTAGGTGTGGCTGACTCTTAACTTTTATAAAGAATATCTCTTTGGATTTGAAACTTTAGTCTTTGCAACTTTTCAGATCTTCTTTATGCACCAAGAGCTTGTAACACTCCAAAGAGAAAGAAAAAATTGAAATCGCATCATATGACCCCTTTAAATGATGACAGAACTTTGATTTTTGGGTGAACTGTCCCGTTAAGTGAGGTTATATTTTCTAGAAAAGAGAGATTATGTTCCTGCAGCCACAGGGTTTTATGTTTATAGCTGTAAGTAAAGTCCAGGATTTTAACATAAGACACCCCATACTTCATGTGTTAATTAAACTTAATTGTGATATTGATATGCACCTGTGATTTTTAATTGATAATTTGTGTTTTATTGTATTACTGCCACATAATCAAGCACCGTCTATAAGTTTGACATTTGCTGTGCCTCGTGTTCGGTTGCATGAGCTTTTCAGCTCGAAGCCCTGGAGCTAGAGGCACTTGGACTCGAATCTGGCACGGAATCTTATATTTTGGACTTAATATGAATTAAAATTAATAAGTACAAACAACATACAATTAAAGTAAGACAAGGGCCTAAACTTGACAAGGTGGACTCGGACCCAACAGTAGCCTACCTGGAGCACTGGCCCCACTGGCTGTATTCTAATCTTATACCCCAGTACTCAATATTTCAATTATGGCTGTGGTTCATTTTTACTATATTAACATACAGCATAAAACATAACGCTAACAATATGTCATGGGGCTCATATTTAACACAAGAGTGATGCTGACGATCCATCAGTGGATCTGAGCATACTCTTTTCAGCATTTTTGAAACAAGCAGGATAACTTAATATCATAGCATACTCATGTGTTTTCCTTATTTGTGGCACAACCAGTTATTAGATTTAGGGGGCAATTACCTTTTCACGTAGGACCAGGCAGGTTTGGACAGCTTTTTTCCCTTAAACAAAACTGCAGTTTGTATTTACTCAGGTTATCTTTGTGTAATATTAAAATTTGTTTGATGATCTGAATCTTTTAAGTGTGACAAATATGCAAACAATTAAAAAAACAGGAAGGAGGCAAAAACTTTTTCACACCAGTTGTGCTTTGCATGCAGATGTTTTTTTAAATTTGAAGTGGTGTTTTTTGCAGTTGACAAGAGTTTTTCACCTACACATAATCTACACTTAACGACAATCCCCTTCTCCCTTTCTTCGACGAGTTCAAAATAATTAGAATACTTCCATCGCAGAAATGTAAAGCTCTGACCTGCCATCTCCGTTTCTGACTATGTCTGTTCCCGCGCACGCATTGAGTGCGTGATTCTACGTGATTACGTTCATTTTAATTAAGTAATTACATTTTTTTAAAGCAAATTAATTAAACTGAAAAAAGTAACTCGCGTTACTTTTTTAAAAAAGTAACTCGAATATTCATGTGTAAATTTATAAAGTAATGCGTTACTTTACTAGTTACTTCAGAAAAGTAATATTATTACGTAACGCACGTTACTTGTAACGCGTTACCCCCAACACTGTATATATATATATATATACGATTTCTTTCAATTTAACTTTTTCATTTTTCGTTCATTTTGTGTCCCAGTTCAGTCATGATATTCAGCTCATAAAAATATAATCTAGAAAAATATATTTTACATTTTAGCCTACACTGTAAATTATGTAGCCTACAAATTACAACAATACTATAATTCCTTTACATAAATGACTAAAAAGATTTTGCACGTTTTAATAAAATGCTAATAAAAATTTCAGTTTCATATGTTTTGAATTGCCATAAAAGTCGTTCAGCTATTGGCATTTTACAGTCACATCCTTTGATCACTCCGTCCTCGGCTCATTGAGAATCAAATCAAGCATGCTCGAATGAGTCGACTCGTGATTCAGTTTAGCCAGTGAAAGAGAGCAGCTCAGAGTCAGACCAGGGGTGCGTTTCCCAAAAGCATCGTTAGCTAACTATGGTCGCAAGTTCGATTGAACTCTATTGGTAACGACGGAACGTGCGAACATATCAGCTTCTGGTGAACGCATCTTTTAAAGACTAGTTTTGTGAACCGATTCATCACAAAGATCCGACTCAAAAGCATGATTCGATGCCGAATCGTAATGTCGCTACTAGGTAGGCTGCTCGCTGTGTTTTGAAACGCAGCCGGTGTCTGAGCATGTGCTGTTACTGCTGCAGTAGAGTAAAATATGTCAGTTATCACCGGACAGCGGCGAGAGGACAGAGAGAGCCGGCTACAAATGTACTCTGAGGGGCAACCGGTGCAACGAGTTTCTGTTTAATTCTTCTGTTTAACAACAAAATGAACCCCGGCTCCTCTACATCTACAGCAGCGGAAGAATAATAAGGTAAGTCTCGCCGGCTTTTAGGATGTTTCATCAGACCCAGTCGAGTTTCCTGCATGGGCTATCCCACAATTTACACGAGCTCGAGTCAGAGTAAACCGGTGCACCTTTCTGAACGTATACTCGCCCACCAGCTCGCTGTTTTACGGACTGTTATCACCCAAATATGCGAACGAGGAAGGCAACGCTGCCATCTCCATCGCATTTGACCCTAAACGCGCTAATTTGCGCTCAAATCTTTAATTACGAAGAAACTTGCTTAAGTTTGACCATTTGCAGTGTTGCATCTGTCTATATCGTTTCTTTGTTGTCCGATACAAAAACGACAGGAAACTTTGTAACATTTTTACTAGAAAAACGAAGTGCTCAGAGTCCGTACTGCTGTAAATCACACTGTAATGTGGTGTTAGACAGTGTGGAGTTGTGTCTGCGCAGGCGACGCGGCGCTGCAGTGGTCGGTTGTCATGGAGGCCTGCGCTGCGCATCCGACCGCCGCTGCTGCTGTCACGACTGCGGTATATTCAGTCTCACACGAAAAATACTCAAATTTACATATCCCAAACAATTCGTATTATTATGAACATGTCAGGTGCTAATCAAGTCGCATCATTATTTTTGACGACACTTCAGAAACACACAGTATTTTGAGAAAACAGACCAAAAGAGTTCAAATTCTTTACACGTATTGGCATCACTTGCTATAAACAGACCCTTGGCACTGGCTTCTCACTTCTTTCATCTCAGTCACCCAATATACAATACGGTTAAGCGTATATAAACATGATACGTGCCCTTTAAGAGGTCGTTCCGGGATAGTTTGGATGGGTCGATATTTACTACGCAGACTATGTCCTCTGGTATTTCATACCGCTAAGCTGAAGCCCCACTTACATCAGCAGCGTGAGATCAAAGACACTCAAAGCTTACTTGATTAAAATTGGGGATTTGGTGTTTAGTGTGGCAGATCAGCTCCACGCTGTTTCACTTGCCCACATCTCAATCTTGCTTCTCAAAATAAGACGTGTAGTTATGGTAAATGTCGGTTTGTCATTATTTTATTCTTCAAAGAAGACTTGCCATGTCAGTCTTTTTTAACATCACTGTGGCTTGGTGCTGTCATGGGACTAACCCTCTCTAATAAGGCTCAGAAGTTGTTAATCTCTTGGCGCTGACCCATATGTTAGCAGTCTGGAGTCTGGGACATACTTGTGGTCCTTTCGGGGGAACAAACTGAAAGGATAAGCGCTTGGGCTGCTTCATAATCACTTGAAGTAAAAAGTATATAAGAGGACTGACTGCAGAGCGGGACTGGGTGGTCCTGATCCACCTAATCATGAGCTTGGCCCACCCTGAGAGTCCTATGGCCAACCATATTAAACTACCATGATATCGCTAGCACTCAGTGTTATTTTAGAATTATTTATATAGCCTACTTATTATAGTATTTATTATTATTTTTGAATTCATTTTTTATTTTTATATTTTCAGTTTTCATTTTAGTAGATTTAGTTTTATGTGCTTTCGTTTTTATAGTTCTATTTACGTTTATTTTTATTTTAGTTTTTAGTAATTTAATTAAGCTTAAATTTATTGTATTTCAATTAGTTGCCAAGGCAGCATTTCTAATGTTTAAGTTTTTTTATTTATTTAACTTTTCCATTTAATATTTTATTTGATTTTAATGTTTTTATTTATTTCAAATAAAAATAACTATTTTTAATAGTTTTAGTTCACAATATCAATACTGGTAGCACTACAGTACTTTTTCATCTTAAATTATTTAAGACAAAAATTATTTATGTATTTAATTATTGTATATATCTAGAATACATTTTCCGCCCCCCCAAAGTCCCTTTTTTCAGAAACGGAGGGTTGCAGATTGTGAAAAGTATTTTTTAATCATACTTTACATTTTTAATATTTTAATCATTTAATATAAATAATGCTGGGTAAGATTTTATGAGTAGTAATAGACCAATATATTGGGAAAATTTAGGCCATTTTAAGATTATTGAAATTTGCTTTTTTTTTAAATAAATAGAAGCATTTAATGTTGACAAATTCACTTATGTCTCTTTCTCTCTCTCTCTGCCTTTGAAAAACATATCAATTAACCAAAAATTATGTGACTGTTATTATTTAGCCACTCCTTATTACTAACGGCTTTCAGCTACTGTTTTGCATTTTTTAAAAATTTGTGCCTCATTAACGCTGATGAGTGAAACTCAGGATGAATTGTCCGCCCCATGCTGAAGAATTTAATGAAACTGGTTCTGCCTCTGTCATGAAACATGATCATCCTTTAACAGCCCTGAGGAGGCTTATCAGCACTTCTCTTACCTGATGAGAAGAATGAAGGCTGTGTGCGGGCTGGAGCCAAGCTGATGTCTAGAGTAGCTGAGCTGTGTGCACTATTGATCCATTGCCATTTATATTTGTGCAGAGTGGAGTGAACTCATGGCAAGAGACCAGAGCTCTCATCAGTCACCTCTAGAAATAGCAGTAATAAGAATGCATCGGAGCCTGTCATTCCAGTGCGTCAAAGGAGGATGTTACAGTATATTATCCCTGCCATTGATGTGCCTTTGTTCTCTTGGCAGGTGTGTGCTTGATATTGACAAAAAGAAGGACAGAGTGAAAACAAACACAACAACTTGGATAGTGTAGCATTTATGATGCCTGAAATTCCCATAGTACTCAAATGGGCACTTAAAGGGACAGTTCACCAAATTTTTTTTATGCCATGCATATATTATAGAGATATTTTGTGCAATGTTCAAGCTGCTCATCTATATGGCGGAAGCAACAACCAAGCTCCAGAAAAATGCACCATAAAAATAGTCCATGCACTGCCGTTGTGTGCTACTTAAGTGAATCAGTATTATTTATATAATATTGTAGTGTTTATTAATATTTCAGCTTTTATTTTCAGTTCTCACACACACACACACACACACATTTCTGTATAGCTTTACATTTACTTATTTCAGTTTTAGTAATTTTAGTACTTCAACTTTCAGTTACCAGAAATGATTTTTGAATAGCTTTAGTTAACAGTAAAAACACTAAAAGAAATGTTGTGGGTTCAGTACAAGTTAAGCTTAATCAACAGCTCTTGTGGCATTGATTACCACAAAAAAAATCATTTCCACTTGTCCCTCAGTTTTCTTAAAAAAATAATAAAAAAATCTGGGTTACATGAGGCACTTACAGTGGAAGTGAATGGGGTCAATCTGTAAATGTTAAAATAATATTGTTAATGTTTTAATTGTGTAGCGACAAGACGTAAACAATATGAATGTAAAAAAATGTGATTTTAATGTAAAAATATCACTAACCTTCTCTTTTTAAAGTTATATTCAATTTTACAACAACTTCATTGCCATGACAAGCTTTATCATAATATGTAAGAATAAATGAAAGTTTCACATTTCTGCTTTTGAATCCTCCAAATATTGCATTTCATTGTAAGTGCCTCACTCGGTGTAAGTGCCTTTCAGTTTTTTAAAAAGAAAATGAGAGACGGATACTGTTCCTGTTTGTAGTAATTAACCTAATGCCATGAATGCCTGCGATTGAGCATCATTTGCTAAAACAACTTTAAAATATTCCACTTATTTGCATTTGGCACACATATCTGAAATACCATTTAATGTACTTTGCCCTTACTAATAGACAAATTCTTCAACCAATTACTCTTTTTATTTGCACATAACACACTGATTCCCTGGCGGCTAGACAGAAACAATTCTTATCATCCAATGTCACATAAAGCAGTCATTCTGCTTTGATGCTGCTCTGTGCAGCTGAGCTTGCGTGTCTGTGTGGTATAGTGATGACCAGGCTGTCAGCAGTGACTGGTCTGTTCAGGTTGCTGAGAAGGTCAATAGAGGTTTGACAGGAGGGGATCAATAGCAATGCTGACTGCAAGGCCAGTAAACGGGTAACATGTAAACACCGTACCATGCATTGGGCTCTGTACCAGACAACTCTTAATGCAAGGTTGTCCGGATGACTGAGCACTTGTGTCTTCTATTGTGGCTCAAGAGCTGTCTTATCTCAATACATAGATTAATATTTCATAATGGCCTTTCCATTAGAGTGCAGAATATCAGCCTTTTAGCAATGTGTGCTGCACTCTCATGGAGTTACTCTGATAAAACCTTTGGAGTTTCCAAGTATGAAATGCAATTTTTATCAAGTGTTATTTATAACACCTCTCACCATCTCATAAAAAAAAAAAAAAATTAACAATAGACAAAACAATGTCTAAACAGTATTGTTTAAATGACACAAAGTAAAAACAATAATGTAATCAGAAATGGAAACGGTAAGAACGGTAAGATAAATGATTAATCAAAAGTGACACTGAATACTTTTACACCGTTGCAAAAATTTGTTTAAAATAAATGCTATTCTTTCTTTATAACTTTATATTAATCAAAGAAAAATAAATGCATCATACTCATAATCAGGACAACTGTTAACATAATAAGAAATGTTATTTAAGCAGCAAATCAGCATATTAGAATGATTTCTGAAAGATCATGTGACAGCGAAGACTGAAGTAATGATGCTGGAAATTCAGCTTTGCCATCACAGGAATAAAATACATTAAAAAAAATAATTAAATATTTATAAAAATCTTAAAACATGAAAACAGTTCTTTTAAATTGTAATCATGTTTCATGTTACTGTGTTCACTGTATTTATGATCAAAGAAATTAGCCTTTGTAACTATAAGATACTTGAACACACAAACACAAAAAAATGTAGTGTGTATATAATATATATATATATATATATATATATATTTATGCCGTGAAAAGGTTTTTGCCCCCTTAGAAATGGCTTTGACACTGTATATAAGGCTGTATATTTCTTCATAGTGTGTTCTTGCTATTGTTAAGGAACTAAGAGCTTTGCTTGTAGTACACTAAATATTTTCTGTCCCGAGCTGGTTAGAATGTTAAGCATGCCCAGTTCAGAACATTTGGAGATGCTTGTAACACCAGACACTTTTCCTTTTTGTGAAGATATTTTAGAAGAGCTGAAAGTATTCGATTCTAGAAACAGTGGCTGCATTTATCTCAGTAACACTTTTGACTCCTTTGATGTGTGAGGCTTTTATCATATGCACTGATTTTTTTTGTGAGATTAAAATTACAACACTTAGGAATTCTCATTCTTAGTGTTAGGTTAACAAAATTATTATAATATTATACAATATTATAATTTTCAAAAATACAATGGAATAATATTAATGTGTATTACAAACGGTGTAAAAAAAAAAACAGATTTAGTCTTCCACTGATAGCTACAAATAAGTGCAATATATGATGGAATGTATTTCCCAATAGACTTATATTGTAAGTGTATTACTGGAAACACAAATATTCTTTGTTTTTAGGGGAAAGTTGAAATGAATGTCAGTGGTGATGGACAGCATGTTATAGAAGCTTAAGTTGTTTTGCACCTGTAACATTCCTTTAAAACAAAGCTATTACTCCACTCAATTTAACAGGACTGTATGTTTACATTTTTTTTTTTTTTTTCCATTTTAGTACATGAGTACCACATTAGCATTGGCATCGGCAGCAAAGCTCAGAAGTACCGCTCTCTTTGGACCCTGACAGACGGTGTGGAGTGTGGACAGTGAGACTGCCAGACAGCAGGTTGGTTAAATCTGCAAATATTACTGTTTTTCATAATGTCCCACTCTTGTTTGTTTCCCTCTCTATCCATTGAATTCTCAGTCTAGTTTAATCACAGTACAGGCTATATTAGTTTTTGTTTTTCAAATAAGACTAGCAGATCTATTTTAAATGTGATGGTGCACTTTGTAAAGGTTTGTATTCGATCTAAGGAGGTGTGAATTATAGAGTCACTTGAGTTCCCATGATGCCCTTGGAGCAAGACACTTAACCTCCATGTGCTCTCGGATGACTGTCCCTACAATTAGCCTACAGTAAGCAGCTTTGGCTGAGAGAAATGTCTGCTAAATGGCAAGTAACCAAAGTGTAATTGATAGGCCATAATGAGATCACATTCACCTCTAATTCATTTTCACACACATCTTCAGCAGCAGTTGAATATCAAAACAGTCATAATTGCCTAAGAATTGACCAGCCATCTCTACGGTTTCACTGTGATGTTAGTTGTACACAGATGAGCTGTTTTAGGACTTTAAGCTCTTCAGAGGCCCTCTGACATATGATACTGTATTTTAAGCTGTGTACAGTGTGTGTGTACATGGATTTACAGCAAAGGACAGTTGAAAGTGTTTGTTGGCTCATGTAACTAGGATCAGTTAGTTTTCGCTTATGTCTGCAAGTGACCCCGTTCATTAATCCAGCTCATATGCTCCTTGAGATTATATTCTGTCATTTATTAATAGTATATTGTAGATGCTACTACTGGGTGTTGTCATGCAGCATTTGTATTTTGTTGGGTATGTTTGGTGTAGCATACTACTCTACTCTATTTTTTTCTGCAATATATAAACTACCGTTGAAATGTTTGGGGTTGGTACTATTTTTGATGTCTCTTATGCTCAACAAAGCATTTATTTGATCAAAAATACATAAAAACAGTAATATTATATTTATAATAACTGCTTTCTATTTTAATATATTTTTAAATATTTTTAAAAAGTAACATTTATCATCAGTCTTCAGTATCACATGATCCTTCAGAAATCATTCTAAAATGCTGATTTGCTGCTCAAGAAACATTTATTCTTATTATGAATGTTTTAAAACAGTAGTGCTGTTTAATATTTTTGTGGAAACTGTGCTGCTTTTTTCTGTATATAAAACTCAAATCAGTATTTGTTTGACATAGAAATCTTTTGTAACATTATAAATGTATTTACTGTCTCTTTTGAACAAAAGTATCTCCTTGCTGAATAGAAGTATTAATTACAATTAATACAAAAAAAAAAAAAAATGTACTAACCCCAAACATTTGAACGGTAGTGTAAATTGGGCACAACATGCTAATTTTTTGTATGAATAAATTACCCAATTGGCCTACTATTTGGCTCAGATTTGCCAACAAAGCTCCCTATGTGAAATACTGTATCCCAAAATGTAATGCACTCAGTTTGTCCTTCCATTTTCATGTAATAAATAAAATGGAAGTAATATCGGCAGAATTTTAAACATTTTTTTTTAACATTTCACAGCCAAAAGTTAAGACATTTTTAAAGATGTCTTAAGATTTGATTAAAAAAACAAAAAGCAAAACCAAGAATTATTTTTGTTTCCCGATATGATACATGTATGCCACTCACTAAATTTCAGAGGTCAAGATTACTGGTTAGCATGACCCCGTTAGCCCTTACCGCAACTGTGTCCATTGATGGCCAATCAAAAGTGTCCATGTTTTTTCACAAAATAAAATATGCTAGCAATATATAAATAGGAAATGTTTCATTTTATTATAGCAAATATTTTACCAGTGACCATTTTTGCAGAGTCCTTTAAAAACGTAATATTTAAAGTTAATATTTTTAATATTTTCATTTAATTTAGCATTATTGTGGTGTCACTAGCCAGTTTTCAGCATCTCGTGATGTTATTTCCCTGCAGCTCCTAAACCATTAAGGACCGCTCGCACCAAGGACGATAACTGTAAAGATAACGATAAAGATATAGTTCTAAAAATCGTTCTCAATATTAAAGAATAGCAGAGTCCACACCACAGCTATAACGATAAAGGCAGAGAGAAACGATATCGTTGGAATCACTTTCAGAACAATTTTTTTCCATCTGATAAACGATAAAAACATCGACACCCAATCAGAATCCATCCTGCTATAACAAGCTCGAGAATTTAAAGCGGCAGACGAGTGTGCACTTAGAATAAACAAACGATATCGTCCACTGGTTTGGACGCTAATATCTTTATCTTTATAGTTATCCTTATAGGTGTGAATGGGCCTTTAGTCAAGATTTGCTACTCAGGTAATTTGTCTCAAAAACAAAACCGTGCCCACAATCAAAGTTACTGCTGTTTTACATACTATTTTGTATACACTGTACATACTATATAGTATACAATGTATACTGCACAGTATGCTAGTATGTCATTCAGAACATAGCCTCTGTTGCAGCGTATGCAGATTTGTAACACTTTTATTATCTTTTTTTTTTTTACCTCCTGAAGCCTATACGTCAAAATAAAAGGAAGATGATCAACATGGCAAACACAATGACCCCTGAGCCCCTTACAGCCCTCTCTCGATGGTACTTGTATGCCATCCATGGTTACTTCTGTGAAGTCATGTTCACGGCCGCCTGGGAGTTTGTGGTGAACTGCAACTGGAAGTTTCCCGGCGTGACGAGCGTGTGGGCGCTCTTCATCTACGGAACCTGCATCCTGATCGTAGAGCGCATGTACCTTTGTCTGCGGGACCGCTGCAATGTGCTGCTCCGCTGCATCATTTACACACTGTGGACATACCTGTGGGAGTTCGGCACGGGTTTGCTGCTACGACAGTTCGACGCTTGTCCATGGGACTACTCAGAGTTTAAATATAACTTCATGGGCCTGATCACGGCAGAGTACGCTGTGCCTTGGTTCTGCGCCTCCTTTATCGTAGAACGCCTAGTGATCCGCAACACGCTCCGGTTGCGCTTCGACGAGGCCGCCGATCCCGGCCAGTCTGAAGAACGTTCGGACAGAGGCGGTGGAGGACGAGGAGGCGGAGGGCGAAGAGCACGAGGGGCCAGAGCAGGGGCCACCAGCACAAACGGCTACGTGAAGGTGGATTGAGGATGTTGTCAACACCTATCCCCATCTCAAAGCTCCCGTCACCCATGACTCTCTCCGCACATCTCTCAACCTCTCTCCCACTTGCTTCCAGGGAAAGAGTTGCTCGGACACAGCTGGTGCAGCTCCAACAGAGACAGTTGCACAACTGTGAGGAACTTTCTGATTTATCGTCCAGCTGGCGTTCTTCGCTCTTGTGGAGGGACGTTCATTTGCCACCTCAGTGCTCAACGTTTACTGCTCTTGCTTTGGGTGAGTAGCCATTAAGTTAAAGGTTTGTCTGTAGGAGTGGTGCCTGATGGCAAAATGAGAATTGATCCTCCACCTCTACCACCATACTGTACCTCCCAAACCAGTCCATTCACTCCGACACTCTGGGAGGGGACAAACAAAATGACTTGTGTTCCCTCGTCCAAAACAAAACAAAACAAAAAACAGGAATGCAAACAGATCACTTGTAGAGAGATTTAGATTATAAACAGTGTGTATGATGTATATGTAGTAGCAAAAGCAAATAACTGTTAGGATAGCATACCTTTTGAATGTTAGTTTGTGTTATTTATTAATATCTAAAATGTAGTTAAGAAATGTTATGATAATATATCAATGAGAAACTAGCACCAGTTCATCAACATATTTACCGCAACAACTCATTCTCTCCCGTGAAAACACAGGAAACTGTGATGTTTTTATAGTTTCAGTACTGAGCACCAGGCCTCTATATATGTAAAAACATTACAGTACTCCTTTTGGGTCTTCATCTCCATGAGAAAAATAAACAAAGAAAAAAAAAAAGGAGGAAATAAATTGTACACAACATCTAAGATCAGTCTGAATATGAGAAAATCTCCTGGAAGACAACTTTCATGCATGTTCAAGCTCTGAAGTTTTTGAAGAATGTAAAAAAACACCAAATTCAAGTACAAGGCATTTAAAAAATGTATTGTGTATATATATATATATATATATATATATATACTGTATAACCTAAAGCAATGCCTTGTACTTGAATTTGGTGTTTTTTTACATTCTTCAAAAACTTCAGAGCTTGAACATGCATGAAAGTTGTCTTCCAGGAGATTTTCTCATATTCAGACTGATCTTAGATGTTGTGTACAATTTATTTCCTCCTTTTTTTTTTTCTTTGTTTATTTTTCTCATGGAGATGAAGACCCAAAAGGAGTACTGTAATGTTTTTACATATATAGAGGCCTGGTGCTCAGTACTGAAACTATAAAAACATCACAGTTTCCTGTGTTTTCACGGGAGAGAATGAGTTGTTGCGGTAAATATGTTGATGAACTGGTGCTAGTTTCTCATTGAGTCTTTTAAGGGATCTGATGATAGTCACAATAAAGGCATCTAATATGTAGGTTCACTGGTTCACTGACCTCAGGTACATCAATGTTAATTATTTCAGCTCCGTCTCTCATATGCCATGAAGTAACGGATTAAGAGAAATATATATAAAATGCCAACATCACCTTGGTATTATCCGCATGGTTACAATTTCAGGTTATGGATTTGCCAGAAAGTTTTGTTGTATTGGTTGTTGTTACTGACCAAACAAAAAATGTATTAAAGCCACAAATTTTTGAATGAAATTTCTGTCCAATTTCCCCTCAATATTGTTGGTTTTACTTTTTTTAAAGTGAAAAGGTCTGTATTTAGTCTTTATCTCAACTTAATACAAAAGTTGCAATTAAAATTTCAAATGTTATGTTCATAGCTTTGATAGTGTAGCTGCGCAGCTATTGTTCTGAAGTTCAATGTAATGTCACAGCGTTTGGCACGCCTGTCTCTTTGGAGTGCTAGATGATTGTCAAAGTTATACATTTTAGATGATTATCAAGTGCACTTTTCTGTTCCCTTGAAATTTTGCGTTCCTATTTGTAAGCCGTGCATTGCCATTGTTCTTGTATTGTAATCACTCTCTATAACATCATAATACAGATCAGGCCATATCAACAGATGTACGGCGGTGATGGAGATGGTCTTCAATGCCATGTCTGTTCACCTGTTTATACAGCCATGCATTCAGGCAATAATAATAATAATAATGTGATATGCGGAAGGAATGCAATAAGTGTTGTCATTTGAATTTTAAATGTGTGATTTAAGCAAATAACACCCTGCGACTCACACTTACACACATAAATGTAAGTTTTTTTTCCAGTTCATTAAAACAGTGATGGTTTTACATATAAATTCTCATTGTTAAAAGGCTTGAAAATGATCCTTCTCATCCAAGTAGAATCACAACGATTAAGAGACTGGGAGAAGATGGCCTGGCAGATGACCAAAGTGTGGCAGTGTTTATCCCTTTCTGCTGTTCTGAACACTCACCTAGTAGTTATTTGGATATTAGCATATCTTTCAGAAAAAAATGACACTTGACTTAGTGCTGGTCAGTATACCGGTTCATATCGAATACCGGTGTTTATTTTTGTTATGATATGAATTTTTAAAATACCGCAATACTTGTTTGTTACTCAGACGCAGGCAGTGCGCTGCATGAGACAAAAAAGTAATATAGCCAAAACAACCGCATAGCCGCTCTTTAGTGTAGATGCATGTTGATTTTATTCACTCATCATGACAGTAAAATAGGGCATTCTAAGTCAATATACTGCAGTATTTCCTCTCTCAATCAGTAGAAAATATGGTTAACACCCGGTCATGAATGAAAAAAAAAATACCGTCATGTACCGTGAAACCGGTATTATTTTGAAAAATACCGTGACATAAATTTTTGGTCATACCGCCCAGCACTAACTTGACTGCAAATAATTTGTTTTTCTACAATAATCGATATAAAAGCTCACAACCCATAAAGAAAATGTGGATAAATGTGGGGATTTCGAATAATCTCAGAGACTTAAATCTTTTGAATCGATCATCGAAACAGGATGCCCCCCATACCCTCATTCCTAAGATCACGTGATCACAAATGAAAATTGTTTCCTTGAAGTGACCATCGTATGTTCCCTTCACTAACAAACTTCTGGAAGGGCCCTTCGTGAAGGGATTCATGTTCACTTTTATTTGGATGTCCCTACAAATGGCACCCCCTTCCCGAAGTGCCCTTCAAGGGTGCAAAAAAGCTGTGTGGAATTCGCTGATTGAGTGTACACCAGTTGTACACTCATTATTGTGGCGCATTATGGGATTGAATGAGCTCACTTGATAATGCCCACTATGGTTTTGAACACATCACTACACTTGGCTGTCTCTTCAAATAGCGCATTATATAAAGGTATAGGGAACAATTTCGGATATAGCTTGTTTTTTAATAAATCAGTTGAATGAACGATTCAAAACTGTTTTACAACAGCTGTATCCGAAATTGCCCCCTATACCCCCATTCACTCTTCCCTATACTTTTGTCCACTAATATAGTCCACTTAATGAGTGGATGAAAACAAGTGAGTGGATTCGGACAAGAGTGTGTCGAAGTGCTGCAGATGCCATCTTAACTGAGACGCTCACAGTGCATGGCTTTACATTTGTTACTGAGGTGGTGTATTATGGGATTGAATGAGCACACAATGTCTATATGGTTTTGGATATTACCTCCAGACACCTAACCCACACATAGTGCCCTATAAAAGGATATAGTTTGCAATTTCAGACACAAACACACATATCGCTCTCCTACTAGCGTAATAATGCAAGTGAACTGAATCAGTAATTGAAATCTGAATCAGTGATTGAATCCGAGTCTGTTTGGATGATCAACATGAGGACGAGTAATTTATGACAGAATTAAAATGTTTGGGTGAACTGTCCCTTTAAATAGGTTAATTAAGGTTTATATATGCTAGTTTGGAGCTGCCAGATTGCTTTGTTTCAAATAATCAGTAAACATCAAGTACAAAAGCGGCAGCCCTTCCAGTGCACTCAGTGTCTGAATTTGCTCTCTCGTTTTTATTCACTCCTTCATTGCATTATATTCGAGGACTAACGTAAGGAATGTTTTGCTGGTGTGAATAATTCAGTCAACTGATTCATTGAGTCGTTTACGACCGAAAGTAACTAGATTGAGTGTTTCAATTAGGTCACTTACCTTTAATTCATCAGCTGATTTGACAAATTCATAATTATTTTTGTGATAGACACTGTCTGGACTTAACAAACGACATGCCATCACCCATTTCTGCAGATCTTCTTTCTTGAATGAGATGCCTCGTTCAGAATTCAGCAGAATCAGATGCCTTCAGTGTTGCCACTCCAAAACGCGACTCGTTCAGTGAATGGGGCGTATTCGGTATATAGATTCAACCAATTAAATGCTCCTTCACAGCCCGCGCTCAAACGCTATTGGCTAGTGTTTGTCTTCTGAGACAGGTAGACAAACGATTCAAAAGGAGGCCTTCAGACCCCAAATTTGGAGATAAAAAATATGCCTGCTGTTGTCACTGAAAATTCTCGTCTTTTTCGGATAAATGAACGTTTCTTCCCCCCATATTGGTAGTACAAAATCGTACATATAGGCCTTTGTCATTAGTTCTCAGATTTTAACTTTTGTTGAGCTGCACCATCTGTTTATGAAATAATAAGTGAACATGTGAACCATTTCTCATACAAACACTTCTCGAATATAATAAAAACCAAAGCACTTAATTCATTGAGGCTGAACCATCATCTACCCTGTTATTTAACACGGAAGAGGTTAAATGCAGGTTAATATATAAATGTGATGTTGCCTTTTGACCACTAGATGGCGTCCTATCACCGCTGCAGAACCCGGATTTGGAGCCTTTACCAACAAGTGTAAGGTAACTTGCTTAATGCTAACAAACCACAGTTGCTACAGTTATTGTTATGAATGTAAAATCATTATAAATTATTATGGGATCTCCTTTAAGCTTTTCAGTTTCCAGCATTTGCTAATGCCAAGTTATCACAGTTGTATAGTAGCAACCATACATTTAGTTTACCACAGTACATTTCTATTCTGCTAGACTTCACCTCAGATTTCATGAAGTGTGTATCATAATGTATCAGTGTACATGGTATGTTTTGTTACCCTTCAGATAATATGATGTCTTTGGGCTATGTGAGCTGTGTTTCTGTGTCAGACTGGTCCACACCTCATGTCCTCATCAGCTTATGTCCTACAATGGTTGGACTCTATAGAGTTCATTATATGAACATGGTATTTTTTGTCCATTTAGCTGTTTTTGCTTTCTATCAATAGGCCAGAGCCTTAGGTCTGATTTTACAACTTATGACAGGTATATTTTTTTCAATATTTATTTCAGAACTTCAGAAAATTAACAATCTCATTTAGTTTCAGACATGTACATTTGATTGCATTTTGTCACTTAATCCTAACTATGCATTTTAATCCTTGTGTCACCATATATCATTGAAAGGCTTTTCAACCTATTGTCTTTCTTGTCTCCAGTTTCCTGCCCTTTTTGTAGACTCTTTCAAAAAACCCCTGTGGGTATCTAGGGCAATTATGCGTCACCTCAAATCCTTCAATTGCGATTTGGCAACTCTTCTCTCATCGCCATTGATTGCAGTGACAGCATGCCTATGAGCTCACCTGACCGTAGTGGGTGTGGCCTGCTATGATGCCACTGCACCTATAAATAAACACCTAAACTCCGCCTCCAACAGCAACACAACCAATCATCTGTCAACACTCCAAATATGGAAAGGTCCTAACCCTTTAAAGAGCAGGTGAAGCATAAATAGTCTTTATTTCCCTCCCGATGTGTGTGTAGAGTCTCTCTGTCTGATTTCTGTAATGTTTCTCTGATTTCATTCCAGCTTAATGAAGCAGCAAAGCGGCTCACAATCGGAGACTCCAGCTCAAACAGCTCCAGGCTTAACAGCCCAGGAGGGGTTTGGTTAAATGAAGTGCCTTGCATGGGAACTGAGTCAGTGGGGAGGGGTATCACTACAGTATTCTTTAAGCCTGTCAGTCATCAAAGCTGTCAAGAGTGCAGTGGAGCAGACGATGGCTTCATGCTGCATTTGAGGGGTGTGTCGAGAGTAGCCCATGTTGAATAGATCTGAGTGTCAGGGCTCAGATCCATTCATAAAGCAGGTTAGAAATGGAAAAAGAGTCCTTATAAACCATACAATGGGAGGAAACCTGCTTTACAACTGTGCTTATGTTATATGGGGTATTGCAGACAGATGCAGAATTGTTGTGACTAGAAAAACTGGCTTATTCCCTGTATTTAAAGCATTTTAACTGCAGGCTAGTAGAGCAACTGTTCTTATCTTAGCCTTACAGAATGGAACTGCTTTTTAAACCTTTTTTTAATAATCCTGACACGTGCTACACAGTGATTGTAATGACACAAGTTTATAAACTAGGCAGTCAGATTAATTATACACACAAAGGTTATTGAGAATAGTATAAAAAGTGATCTCATAAATCACTTTGATTTGTTATCTCTGCAAACATGTCCCATGAATATTAACCAAAGTATATTAGTTAATATTCAGTATTAGTTAAAGGGGTAGTGTACCCAAAAATGACAATCTAGTCATGATTCGCTATTATGTCATTTTGAACCTGTATGACTTACTTTCTTCTCTGAAATATCACAGAGGAATTTTTTTTTCTGGTTGGACTTTTAGAATATTTCAGAGTTTTATTTTTTTGTATTTACCCTCTCTATGCAACAGGTAGGAGGGCATAGTGGAAAAGCGATGCTATGGTTTGCAATATGGAAAACATACAATACTAGGCTTTTTTATCTTTAAAAAGTGTAATTTTCAATCCTGGGTTATTCTGTTCCATGTTTAACAGTGTTCATACCAGCCTGATCTCATGAGAAAATGTTTTTATGCTGTTTTACATTTTAGCGACTAGGTGATCTGTATGAAAATGATTTTTTTCTAAATAAAGTAAGCATGACGGTCCACCCCTAAACCTAACCATAAGTGGTGTGTTTACAGATACAAAAACATGAATGAGATTATATGAATTCAAATTCACCATCAATTCGCCAAAACTTGTTAGTAATTCACATTTTACTGTATAGGGTATACCAGTTAAGTTCTGGAGATGGGCTTAATAACCCAGGGTTAAATGTTGCTTAACTTAAAGGGTAAATGTGGCCTTAACCTTGGGTTTCAAAAAATGACTGTATCTAAGGTTTGAATGTAGTATAAAATAGTTTTTTTTCTCCATATGAAGCCTGGTAGCTATATCGTTCGCCAGTAATCTAATTTTCAAAAGCCAAAACAAACAGCCACCTTTAAGACTGTACTTTGAGAGTGCTTATGTTTTTTTTTTTAAACGGTGGACAGCTGTATCTCTCATTCTGGCTGCTTGTTGCCGTTGTGTAAACGGCCATTGCTTATCTCCCACTCAGCTTTGCATAACGTTACACAGAGGTTTCCCACACTGCTTTGCATTTTTACCAGGGTATTTGAGCAGCAGGCTATTCTGTTTTCTTTCTCTATTCTGAGATAAGAGCAATAACTCTCCCCTCGTTTTTTCTTTCTGGTTTATGTATCTTCTGTTAAATTTAGTGCTTTGCTACTTGAGGGTGAGGCTTCAGTGTAAACATTAAAGCAGATGCCAAGTGGTTGTCAACCGCTGTCACATCTCAGAGTGACTGCTACAGAGATGTAGCTCCACTGCTTCTGTCTGTGACAGAATAGATGTGGATGGGGAAGAGGAATTTGATCAAGCATGGATGGAAACCTTGTTTTATCTCTTCACGCTGTGATTTAAAGGAGGTGGACTCTATGCGCTATCTTGCCGATAGTATTGTCAAAGCTACTGCCTTGTGAAAATATCCCCAGTGTTCATGGCACATTTAAAGAAATAGTTCTTAAGAATGAACAGCCATTTACATGTCATTCCGAAGTCATTCTTTCATCTGTGGAACGCAGAAGGTGAAATTTTGAATAATCAAGTCAGTGAAAGTCAGTGAGTTTACCTTGAAAACCGGAGCAAATCCAGTTTTGTGAACTGGATCAACTGACTTAAAAGAATAATTAATTTACAAATTCAACAAATGCTAATGAACTTGCGTAAACATGCCAATGAGAGCTAGAAGAAAAGTCAAGATATTCAGCAAAAAATAATTCATCTTTAGAACCAAAGCTATCATAATCTTTAAGAGGACTTGAAATAAAGCATAAGAATTGTGTTTACTACAGTGAACTACTGCATCATTTCTGTAGTCTGAAAGTGCATGTTCATTGTAATTGATTGGAATTCAGTGTCATTAACACATCTTCTAAATCCATCCAAGAAAGAAAGAAAATTATACGGATTTGGACCGACACGGGAGTAAATATTTTTTTGGTTGAACTTAAAGCCTGCCTCTGTCTGTTTGGTGTGTGGCTACTCTAAATAGGCGTAACACTTTGGGTTTATTTCTCTCTTCCTTGCACTGTTTCAGAATTCAGAAGACTTTTCCAGACTTTTTTGAATCCAAAACTTGTAAACCACACTAAAGCTCTCCAGGTACTGTGCAGAAAGTGTGAATTATGGTAATGGCTCCTGGCAGGGAAGAAAATAAGTGCAGTTATTAAAATGAATAGCTGCCGCTCATCCTGTGGTCCAGACCCCAGGCAGGGGTGGAGAGCCAGGCCTCTCAACTTTCTTCCGTCTCATACCTACACCTCCATCACTGTTGTGTGCGTCTTCCCATTACACGTCAAATCCTCTCTCTCCGGACCTTTCCGTAGTTGGTTTGGCTCAGCACGATGGCATGGTTAGGCGGTTTGCCAGGCACTTGATGGCCACAGAGTCCTTGGCCCCATTCTGCCTAACATCCCTAACAAGCTCCATAAGGCTGCCAAAGGACCCAGTTTGATCCTGAAGAACAAATCCACCCCCAACTTTGGCCTTTGAAGTGGGAATATGAGTATTTGGTACAACTTGACGTCATAGAACCCAAAAGTAAATCTTGCCTCAATAGGCTTAATCTTCGTTTTTGTCTCTATTTTGCGAAACATTTCTCCAAGTCTCTCAAAGTTCCTGTCACACACCACTTTTTTTTGTTTGTCCTAATGACAGATTCAAGCCGCAAGACATTAATCCTAACCCTTTAAGTTGAGCAACTGTGCATGTAAGAGCAGGTAACAGATTTGCTTGTTCCGCTCTAGGCTATCCAAACGGTTGGCACCAAACAGCTGTACCGGTATGTTTTCTTTGATAGTCAAAAGGTCATGTAAGAAAAGATCAGTTTACAATTTATTTTTCCCATATACCCACAGATCATTTATCGAAGGAACTTCAGGAAGTCGTTAGTTTTTGTTCGGTTCAATGGAACTAGATTAGCGTAAATATATTACTATAATAAAGATAAAGGTATCGGTTATGTTCTTAATCAACTTCAGATGGGCTTCTCCTTCACAGCAGCTGCTGGCTGTACAAACTTTATGATTAGTAACCAAGTTTTAAGTGTAATGGGTGTGTGTGGTTTTAATAAGGTATTAAGGCAAACAGCTGGCAGTTGTGAGATCTATGCGTTTGTTTCCATCCAAACCAGCCCTTGACGAGAAATGATTTTCAAGAACCCTAAACTAGCATTAGCTGAAGTGATTATTTACTAAAATGTGTGACTGTGTATCAACCGTCGTGCTTCTTTTCTGTATGATTTCATTACGGTGGTCTGATCCTGATTTAATCCAGATTTTAGCTGTGTCCAGGAATGCAGAGCGAGGTGGCGAGCGACGATGAGGCCTGGGGACAGAGTTACAGTATAGCGGTCTTGGCTGGGGTGTTTGGTGTAAGAGCACACCGCTGGGGTGTACGATACAGTGGGAAGCGTGTTATTGCAGGTGTGTGTGCATATTACATCTGATTATGAAATATGTGAGACGTTTCACTACCTCTGTTTTTTCAACTGCTCGGTCGGTGTTAAAGTGGCCATTTGAGGCTTTGAAAAAAGCAGTGAAAATTCCGTTCCTCTCACGAGAGCCGCTGTGAAAGAAAATGTGTCAGAGTGCGTCTAGCTAAGAAAAAAATGAGGTTTATTTTAAGTAATGTTTGCTGGATGACGACTGACTGCAGAGGTGCATTATGGACTCTAAAGGTGGGGCCACCTATGATCTAATCTCCAAGTCATGTGTGTTTGTATATAAACACTGTCTTTGTCCTTAATGGGTGTTAATAAAAGTTAATATACCTCTTGAACCGAACAGGCACAATATACTAGGGATGGGTCACAGTGGTTGACTAACTGTTCTGCTAGTTCTTATTTTAATTCTTTTGTAGCAATGCTTCAATGACCTTCCTTTAAAGCACTGTTGGTACAGCCACACACATACAGATAGCCGTCTTTGACTGTTACGTTGTGATTGTAATTCGAGCGCTTTGTGTCATGTCCTCATGCCACGTCGGAATGGCGAGAAAATATTTAAGGACACAGAAAGCATACCTAGTATTCATTTTACTGCTTAAGTTGCCACCATTTTGGTTGTTTAAACGTGACATCACAGCGGTCAGGTAGTCGAAGTCGAAGCTCTCCGAAAATTGAGTTTGCAACCTTTAATTACAAGGTTGACGCAGACGCAAATGGGTTTTTACAAGTCAGAAACTTTTAATTACAGTAATTCCAACATGATGTGAACGCATCATTACTACTGATTACTCAGCTAATCATTCCGGCAAACCACCAACTAGTTGATTTCAAAAATCTGTAGTTTTGTATGTCCCTGCAATTTAATGAAACATAAAGCTATTATTTACAAATCGCCTCTACTCATAGAGGGGGTTGGTCTTCATTCGCTGCTGTACAACTTGCTGAATCTCTTGCGGTCTCGGTGGTTTTCCTCTCTGAACATAGTAGTCCCAATGGGCTCATTGACTCTCCGTGGACCTGTAAAACGCACTGGAGCCACAGGAGCTCAAGCGAGAGGCTCATTTGGGTTTCTATAAAAAGTTTCAGATTGTAAAAAAGCATGATTTAGTTCGGTA